CCCCAAAACCCCAAAACCCCAAAACCCCAAAACCCCAAAACCCCAAAACCCCAAAACCCCAATAAAATCGACAGGATTGAATTTTATAGGTGATCCTCAGCCTTTTCCTGCTTTTGATAAACAAGGATGTATGCTTCCTTTTGATCAGCAACTTTACCATCAATTTCTTCAACCTTTGTACCATCATAAAGCTTCCAGATATCATCTCTACAGCAAAGGGCTGAGTTTGAACCTCTTCTCCAACTTCCAGAATGCAACATAATGCTGTTTAATGAATAGTTCACTGGTTCAAATGTATCTGGAAGTATATGAGTAAAGTCTGTGTTATAATACATGAAACCAGACATTTTTCTGCCGTTAAGATGATCTTGCCTATCAAATTTTAAAATCAGATACTTCGGAAACTTAACTATTCTTCTTCTAACTTGGCATTCTCCAATCTGCTTGCAAAATTCTCATTCATAATAAGAAGAGGAGCTTTTCTCAATCTCTCAAAACTTAATAAAAGCAGCTTGAGGATCATAGCGATCTCATTCTAAAAGAATATTCAGAAAGTCTTCATAATTCTTGGTAATCTTCCTGCAAGCATTGCACTTTATCTCATTCTCGTACATTCCAACAAATAAGTTATCAACAATTGTATTGTTAATAGCCTCATAAGCTTCACAAGCATCTTTATAGTTGTGATATCCATTAGAATCAAAGAAAACTTTTTCAGAAGAAATCTCAAATTTAATTTTAGTCAACAAATACATCAGGAAATCTGAGACATCATGTCTTTTGTCAGGGGAGAAATCTTCATCAAAGAGAGATCTAAAGCTAGTTCCATCTATCCAATCCTCATCAGAGCAAAGATACTCAACACAGAAAGCGGATATATTCTCACAAAGAGACTTCTCTGGGCTGTATTCCTGATTATTATCTTCATAAACATTGTCAGGGCTAAATTCTAATGCAAAGAAGTCAAGAAATTCTGGAATTGAGAATAAACCTTGAAACACAGTTGAAAAGAAACAGTCTTTGTGGTCAACTTGAATTCCAATACTAGTATTTTCCTCTTTCTCTTCAGCAGAATCTAGGGGTTCAGATTCATAGTTTAATTCATTCTTCTTTTCCTCATCAGATTGATCCCCATAATTGTATGACCTTTCATCTATGTTATATGACTCTCGATAAGAAGGAGACTTCTCCCTCCAAGATGTCCTCTTTATTCCTGGATCTCTAACTCAATTTTTAGCTTCTCTTGTCATCGGGGTGACTTGGCTTGCTCCGTAATTTATCTCATGGGCCTAAATTTATGAGCACAAGAGGAATACATATCTGCCAATCTGATTAGCGTTACTTGTATACTTGGGTACATACTCAACCGGTGTTTTTCTTTTACTCTCCCTTGTGGCTCTAGAATGCCTATTCCAAGACTCTACATTGTAGGAGAAATCTGTAACAAATCTATTTTTGAAAGGGTAATCTAAATGGCTCATCTACTATAAAACAGTATATTATTTCATTCAACCTCCTAGTATTTATATGGGGTTTTGGGGTTTTGGGGTTTTGGGGTTTTGGGG